CACCGCAAAATGGCAACCTTAGGCCATATCAGAATTGTTCGACGTACACAACTAGGCTGCTACCAAAGTTGCCCACAGTTTTTTCACCCTCCGCGATCAGTCGGAGGAGGATTTCCGACCCAAAGTCGAACAACTTCATCAAACATGCTATCTGCCTTTCCGACACTGCTGACACAACCATAGGCGAGTTCACACCGAAAAGTTTCGAGGAGTGCTTAGGAGCCATGAGTGTTGAGAGAAAGGAGCAGGAATCACATAGAGATAGAAGAAGACAGCGTGACGTGGTACAGAACTGATTCACAAACTTATAGCGCATTAAGGAACTAGAAGTGACATAAGAGCTTTAAAGTATTTTCGTCGCATCAAAATGTGAGTCATCCAACACGCACATCGATAAATCAAAAATTAAAAATGCATATAAGAGTATATTAACAATAGCAACTATTTACAACTTTTTTTTTCGCTTACAACCATTTGATCGGGAAGAAAATCCATCCGCTAAAGACTACTTATTTAGAAAAGAAAAAAATTTACAAAATTATTATTCACCGCCTCAAGCCAGGTCAAACCACAACTTAGACAACCGTTTATACATTAACTCCCCATCTATCCTAACCTTATTTACTCTGCTCATCTCAGAATACAGGCAGGAAATTGAAACTTCCTCCTGGACGGTGGCCAACTTAGCTCTTAAGAGAAGTCAGTTGCTCTTGAAGAGTAACCTCGTGAGCCCGTACAACGGCTAATTCCTCCTCCAACCAACCTAATTGTGCATTCCGAGGCTAAGATGATTAGTTTCTTGACTCGATGGAATCCCAGCCTTATAAAGACAAATTTAGCCAAGTCGGACGATCCTGAGACACCAGTCATCCTCGCTAGGTTGACCGTCGGGCACCACGATTCATCCTCACGCGGTCTGCTAAAGCGCCTGAAACCTTTAACTGACCCTAAATCCTCCGTGACATCAGGCCGGGCAGCATCATGATTAGCAGGAAGGGAGGCTTTCATACCTTCGTTCGAAGAGGGGCCCATCATCCGATTCATGTCAGAGACAGTGAAGGAGCAAGTTTCCTCCTCTTCCTCCTACTTCACCTGCAACAGAGAAGAGACTACTTGGAGAACATCCGCCAGGCGAAAGTTGGGAGCTTCCCCTTGGCCGTCAGTAGTCAGAACCTCTATAGGTATCATCGTAAAGATGGGTCCTTGATCCTCCCCTGCCCCCCTGCCCTCAGCTCAGTCTAAAATTGAAGGACGGATCTTTTGTTCTGTCTGATCATCATTGGGACAAATCATTCCCAGCGTACAACATTTCTTCACGGAAAAACTCCCTCCGCACTTGAAGAGCTCGCTGCGCGACAACCATTGTTTGAATTTGATTACCCTATTTTAGCCACAGTTCGGAGGCTTTGACCTCAGGTACAACACACTCACATTGCCAATCACTTTTAATGGTTGCCTTGGCTCTCTTCTTCATGGCCCGAAAAACTAAAGCACAAGCTTCCTCATTAACGTACTTGGGAAGCTGCCCCTCTCAATACTCAACACCACTGAGAAGATGAAAGATCAATGCGAAGGATTGCCCGAATGACAAATCTCCACATTTCATTTTTTTTTATTTATAATGGCCTTGGCACAAATATCAAGAAGTAATTAATCATTGTGCATTAAATAGTGGTGAATACCACAAACATGTTTAAAAAATCTCAATTCTCTTGTTCTTATTGTAGTTGTTGCTATTAATGAGTAAGAGAATCGGTGAACTTTAATATATACATAAAAAATTTGTCAACATGAATCTCAAAGATATCTCACGACGGGCAGAAGAGTTGATGTGGCATCGTGGGACCCCCAAGGACCACCCGAGATCACACACTTAGTTGGTCGGCTTCTGTGTACCGGGAGGACGGTACTTCCCAAACATATAGATCATCTCCAAAGAGAATCTATTTGATTAGACATGCACGGACAAATCCAATGCCCTCCACTCTGGTCAGGCCAGGTGAGCAGGGCAAACCATCCAATTCCAGAACAGTTGATACCGATGCTCAGCTAACGACCGCCCGATCTTATGAGCTCCCACCCCTTTTGGCTAGATGCATAATTGATCCCCAGATTGGTCCGATCGGACATTCGGGGGCCCTGGTCCATATTTATGTATCATCTAAAAGTCCTTTGTCGTATCTACGTATACTAGCGGTACAATATGTAATTGTACATCCCCTCATTCTTATAAATAAGGGTTTATTTCATTAATAAATGTTACACAATTTTAGTGTTCACTACTCATCCTTCTGCACTCTCCCTTCCTTTCTGACATACTCTATTCTCTTAAACGTGTCTCCTAGGCAGATTTGGATTCAACAATACATGACAACATATTTGGTCATTTCAATTCTATTGTCAACCCAGCCATCTTAAAAATAGTGCCAGACCGAAAGTTTTAATTTACTTCTAATGCCTATAGAACAAGTTATACGTGGGAGTTTTCTATGATATTTTTCTATTTTAATCGTGTTTTTGATAGACTTCTGGTACAGTTTTTAATGTTGGTTTAAACTTGTTGTCAACTTTATTTTGAATATGAGGGTTGGATTTGTTCTATTTGAATTTAGAATACAAAAAAATTTAGATAATTAAGGCTCTGTTTGGGATCACCTTATCATAAGCTTTTTCTAAATCAAAATCATCCTTATTCTCTCTGTACTTCTCTCTTAAACCTCTCAATAAGGTATAACTTCCATTTTAGGCCTGCTCGACATAATTCCAAATTGATTATGAGAAATTTTTGTAATACGCCTTAACTTATGTTCAGTTATGCTCTCCCATAATTTAAAGTTTGACACGTCAACTTAATTCCTCTATAATTTGGACACTTTTGTGCATCTCTTTTATTCTTAAAAATGGAGACTGAAATACGCTTCCTCCACTCCTCAAGCATATTTTTTTGTTTTTAAAATAATATTAAAGAGTTTTAATAAGCCAAGAAATTTTCAAGTCTTCTAAATATTTTCACACTTCAATTAAGATATCATCAGATCCTATAGAATTTTCACCATTGGTTTTCCTTAAATTCTCATCAACTTCTTTTTTACTAATGCGAAGGTAAAAATGAAACATTTTATTATTATAATGATATTAAGATCACTATGGTCGATCGTATTTTCAGAAACTTCATTGAAAAATTTATGAAAATAACTCACCCACCTATGTTGAATATTTTTTTTTAAGAAAAATATTTTTTAATTTTCATCTTTAATATACTTTACTTGAGTTAAATCCTTACCTTTTTTTTTCTCTTTATTTAACTAATATATTACAAAAATCACTAAAAACATAATTTTTAGTGCCACAGATTGTTTCGTAGACAGACTGCGAACTATTTTAATATTTTTCTTAGTTCTCCGAGCTTTTATATTTAAATTAGTTTTTATAACATAACTTCTTTTTATTTTATCTTTTATTGCAATTTATTATCCATAACCAACTATTTTTATTTATATAGATTTTTTCTTTTGATTTTTCAAGTATATCTTTTGTCATTTGTTTAATAGTGTTTGTTACTTTATCCTACATAGAAATTGTTTTTCATGTATATCCAAAGTCTGAAATCTTGAATTTTATTCATAAATATAATTTTATTTGTCTTCTAAGTGTCCTCATCTAATTTTATGGCAATAAATAGTATTCTTTATTTTACAACTCTTCTTCTTAAAATCCATAATTAACAATTCATGTTGAGTATTTAAGTTTTCACTTAAAATGATGTTACAATCTTTACATTCTCGATGATCTCTTCTCATAAGAAAATAATCAATGTGTTTTATTAGATCCATTCTTATAGGCTATAATATGCCATCTTTTTTTTGAATAAAGTAATAGCAGTAATAAAATCATGTGCCAAAATAAAATATAATATGACATAATTTTTTTCATTAATCACTCCAAAATCGTAGCCACAATAAATATCTCTAAAATCTTCTACTATTTTGCCCACATATTCATTTAAATCTCTTCTAATAAAAATTCGTTATTCAAGATGTATTATTTGTATAAATTCTTTTAGGTCATTCCATAATTTTTCTTTATAACTTGTATCTAAACCTACATGATGAGAATAAACATTTATAATATTAAAAGTCTTGATATCAACAATAATTTTAAGGGCGATAATTCTATCTCCAATTATATTAATTTTTACAATGATATCTTTCAAACTCTTATCTATAATTACATCACTATTTCTAGCATGACTCGTACATGAATACCAAAATTTAAAACTTTAGCTATCAATCTCCTTAACTTTTTCTTCAACCACCCATTTAGTTTTTTGAATACATAAGATATATATCTATGAATCATAATATTAACTTGAATTAATTTATCAGTGAGTGTATTTATATTCCAAGATTCTATCTTAATATTAGTTTCATGAACTAAATTCTTTATCAAAATCCGTCCGTAATGTGAGAACTTTTGCTTATTTGACATTACATCCGGGTGCCGCTGTCGCGGCCCTTGCGCACTTTTCACTGCATTCAGGCATACAACGGGTCTTTTGTAGGAGACGCCTTGGCATTTACATAAAGATCAGAATAGTTCATATTATAATTTTTGACAATTTTTATGTTAGATGTCGACTATCAAACACAACCCTCTACTTTTTACATCTGGGCTTGAGACCGGACAATAACAGTGTTTTAGCTTCTAATCTTCGATAGAAAAAAAAAGAAAGATTTACATGCACACTGAATTTCTCTGTATTTATTTGACACCTTAACTTCAATATTTACATCATATCACATTATTGCGTGAAAATTTGTTGAACTTTTCATGTATTTATTTGACACCTTAACTTCAATATTTACATATATATCACATTACTGCGTGAAAATTTGTTGAACTTTTCATGAGTTAAAATGGTAGTATTTTTTATGTGATATGAAAGACTAGAGGTATAAATGTAAAAAGTTGGCTGTTTTATATGTAAATGTATAGTGCAGGTGCTCGCAATAGCCCGTGAAGCACATGTCCTGCATGAACCTAACGAACCAATTATGGAACTCTAACCGAACCGTCTTAAAAGATACTTTATCAACACACAATTGAGTAAAATCAACCGCCTTACTCTCTCCATTCACTTCTTCTTGTTGACAGCCTTGCGGTCGCTCGGCCGAGTTTGTGATTCCTAATTAAAGCAGCTCTCCCTGCTCTGATAAAAAAAGCCAACAAGACAGCTTTAGCTGGTAAGAGCGAAGAAAATATCTCTATGGGCAGAAAACAGAAGGCTTTCCAGTTTCCACCCATGCCTTTTTGGCTCTTTGTTTCCAAGCGCTTTTTCTTCCTCGTCGCCTCCGCAAAGTTAGCGGCGAGAATTTAAAATGAAAGAGGAGGGCACTTAACCATTTTTGTCCATGCCTGTAGGCTGTAGCCCCTAGATTGCCCCACAAGCCGTCTGCGACGATAGTCCATTAATGGCATCATGGCACGTGGCAAGAAGCATCTCCCACCTGTGGCCAATTCTAAACGTAATTTGACGAGAGATCAACGGTTGGCGTTTCTGAGAAGGTGAGAAGGTAAGGGAAGGAAACTCCTTTTAAAGCTGGATTGTGGCCGCCTAGATATTGTTGGATGATGCCCTGCGTGCCGTCGGATTGTGGGTTCGAGGGAGATGAAGGGCAGGGATCAAATTGCTCCAGAATTGTGAGCAAGATGGCAAGCTCTAGTGGAACTCTTTCATTCACCGCCTCTATCCGATAAAAAAAAATCAATTGTTTTTGTTCCAGTGATTGAGGATTTTGACCTCTACGGCTGTCTGATTTTTCTAAGTTGGAGATTTCTTAGATTTGAAGTAACATTATTGTGAAATTTTCTGTTTTATTTCTTCTAAAAGTGTATATTTATATTTTAATTTTAGTCCAAAAAAAGCATATTTCACTAAATGAAATGCATGCGCTTAGCTGTAGAAAAACCAGTATAAATTAATTTTATATTTCTTAAATATAAATATTAAATATTTATAAATTTTGATTGTAATTTAATTAAAAATTTTAATGTCTGGTTAAATAGATTGAATTAAAATGTATTGCACTATTTAAAAACTACAAGATAAGCATAATGAGAAATAATTTGAAATATACAGAATTTTGTTACAAAACAGTGGACGTTTAATTGGTATTTTTGCTGTATCGATCTTTGTTTTACCGAGCTTGGTAATTTACTTTGGGTCTGCGGGTGAACAGTCGTCGTAAAAGGTCATATAAACTCATTCACATATTAACAGGCTTTAATTCTTTCCCAATTAAAGATGCAACGCAAGAGATAAACAAAGGCAGAGTAGAAAATATTATGTCTATTGTTTAGTCATGGGTCATGTTGATGATTCTATGATGTGATTTATGCCGTCAATTATATATCTAATATTTTCGCGTGAGAGGCACGGAGGAACACTGTTGACACCAAACCAAGATTTTTAAGCAACAACGTTTTTTTTTTAATCCCACTTTTAGATTCTTCATTTTGTTTTTTAAGCGCTTAATATTTTAGTGCCCGAACTCATCTCACACTGATAAAAAGGAAAGCCTATTTTAATAGTATGATATTGCAAAACGCTGTTGAAATGCAGAAGAAAAATAGTATTATTATTATTATTTTTTATGAGCTCTGGTCGTTGAGAATGGAAGGAAGACGATGTGCAGCAATGACGGACGCGCCACTCCAGAGCAGCGCGGATGGCCGTTGGCTGTGCTCGTGTGACGTGTGGTTTGCTCCACTGGTGCCGCACCCTCTTGCGTGCTTCACTGAACTTCCCTGTTTCAGCAGTGCTCCACGTTTGTACGGTGCTAATGCTTGCTTGGCACCATGTGGGCCCCGCTTCACGTGAGGAGATATGGCCCCCGACCCCACCGAACAGAGTAGGTGTGGGCCTCTTCGAAATCCCCATAATCTCATCTCTGCCAATTATCTCTCATCGCCCACGTGATCCCCTTGGCCCCCCATCTCCTCCTATACCCACTACCCTTCCCTTTTTATCTCCACCCTTCCTCCCATCACCACCTCCTCATTCCACCCCCTCCTCCTCTCTCTCCGCAGTTTCTCATCATGGGAGAATCATCGGCTTCGTACATCCACACAGTAAGTTTCTTTGCTGCATGCATGCAAAGAGTTCATGGCCGAGCTGGATTAATTGACTCACTTTTATGGCCGTAGGTTCAACATCTGATCGAGAAGTGTCTGCTTTACCGCATGAACAAGGAGGAGTGCATGGAGGCTCTTAACAAGCACGCCAACATCAAGCCAGTCATCACCTCCACCGGTACTCATTAACTATGCAGTCTTGTTTAATAAGTATTGAGGAAAACTACTTACACGGGATCTTATATTGTATCGGTTAGTGTGGGCGGAACTGGAAAAAGAGAATCGGGAGTTCTTCGCTGCTTACGCTAAGGAAAACGAGGAGCGGGAGATGGAGAAGGCGGCAATGCAGAGGCTGCATATGATGACGGCTGAGGATGAGTGTCTTGCCAGTACCGATCATGG